CTGGTGTGAGAGCCAGTGGGCCGAGCACACAGGTGTAAGCCTCTGTGCTTTGCGTCTCTAGCTGTTGTAGGCAGGGCCTCCCTCTGGCTGGCCTGATGCTGGCACAGTGACTGCAGGTTTGTGAACCGGTGTTGGCAGGCTGCGTATCACAGTGGGGGACCTAGGAGCTGAGTAGGCAGCCAGGGTGATAGAGCACCTGAAGCTCCTCTAAGTTGCTGACCAGCTGGGTAGACCGCACCCAGACAACCTTGTCCAGCTCTCCCCTCCCCTGCGCAGAAAGCTCAATACAAACCCTGCTCCTTCAGCAACCCTCTTGCTGCTAGGAAGCCTCTCAGACTGCCTGCCTTTCCCTTCTTCCAGAGCAGCCAGGTGTGGACCCTGTCCTCCACAAATAGCCGAAATCTGTCTCTCAAGCACCCCACCTGTCTGAGCTCCCCATCATCCAGAACACCACACAGTGTAGGTTTCTGCTCCCAAAGCACACCTCCAGGGCTCAGTGTTCAATGGTTCCAGGCTTCCACCCCCTCCCCAACTCCATTTCTCTTCCTCCCGCCGGTGAGCTGGGGTAGGGGAAGGGCTTGGGTCCCGCCTGATTAAGGCTTTCGTACGTTACCCTGTTTTGTGAGGTCTGCTCTGCTCGTGAGGTCTGTGTGCAGTCTGGTTCATCCCTCCTTTTTGTTGCCATTTTAGGGCTAGTTGTATCAATTAACAACATTTCATACTATCTGTAGTTTTGGGAGAAACTCTCTGTCTCACCTCTCACGCCGCCATCTTGAATGTAGTGATGAGGACTGCCATGATTTTTGTGGGGGAGATAATGCAAGGGCTTTTTGTCACCTTTATAGAAGTGTAATTTATAGACAGTGAAGTGCACACATTTTAAGTGTATTTTTATGATTTTGGATAAATGTACACACCCATGTTATCCCACTATAATCAAAATCTATAACATTTACATCATCCTGTAATGTTCCCTTGTATCCTTGTACATTTAATTCTGTACTGCCAAAACCAGATGACCACAGATTTCCTTTTCATTACCATACATTAGATTTATCATATTATTGAAGTTCATATAAATGGGACCACACTGTATATACTCCTTTGATGTAGCTTCATTTGCCTAAATCATTATTTTTGAGATTCATGTTTACTGTTATACATATTAATAGTTCATTGCTTTCTCTTATTGAGTAGTAGTCCACTCAATGGATGTATCACTATTTATTCACTTTTTTTTCCTTTTTGCTAATATAAATAAAGCTGCTATGAGCATATTGGTACATGTAGTCTTCAAGTAGACATGTTTTAATTTCTCTTGGGTAATTACCTAGGAATTAACTTGCTGGTTCAGATAGCAGTTGTGTGTTTAACATTATAGGAAAATGCCGAACTGTTTTCTGAAGTAGTTGTACCATTTAACATTCCCACTAACAATATGTGAGTGTTCCAGTTGCTCTGTAATTAACTTGGCACTATTGTATAATAATCAGTCAACTCTATTTAAGTGGTCTCTTCTGGACTGCTCATTCTATTCCATTGATGTGTATGTTTACCTTTTACTGGCAACACACTGTTTTGGGTACTGGAGCTTTGTAGTGAGTCTTAAAATCAGGTACTGTGAGTCCTCTAACTTTGTCTTCTTCAAAATTGTTTTTGATGTTTCTGGGGCCTGTATATTTCCATATGCATTTTGGAATCATGTTGTCAATTTCTCAAAACAAGCTTGGATTTTGTTTGTTACTTTATATAAATTACCAGTCAATCTGAGGAATATTGAAATCTTAACAGTATTTTCCTCCTATCAACATATCTCTCCAGGTCTTCTTTAATTTCTGTCATTAATGTCCTATAATTTTCATTGTATAAATCATGCACATATTTTGTTAAGTTTAATCCAAGGTATTTCATATTTTGGGATGTTTTAATTGTATTGCTCTGAAATTTTTTATCTGCATCTATTGAGATAATTAGCTTTTTTTCTTTATTCTGTTAATATGGCAAATTATTTTGATCAGTTCCTAAATGTTAAATCAAACATATTCCTGAGTTAAACTCCACTTCATCATATTGTATTATCTATTTTTTAATAATTGCTTATTCTATTTGCAAATATTATGCTAAAAATTTTTGTATCCTCAACCTGATCAATAACAACTATGAAAATATCTGTGTAATGTCATGACTTTCTTCCTCCATAATTGGGAACAAGACAAGGATGCTCACTCTGTTTCTATTCAGCATTTCACTAGAGGTACTAATCAGTGAAATAAGGAAAAGAAAATAAGAGGCATAGGTGGAAATAAAGAAATACAAAGAACCATCTTTATTTCCAAAGGGCATAGTCATATACTAAATAATTTACCCAAGAAAGCTATTAGAACTAATAAATGAATTTAGCAAAATCATAGGATAAGTCACTATATAAAATTTGTGTTTTTATATGCTAGTAATGATTGGAAATTAAAATTTAAAAAGCAATATGACCTTTGGTTTTAGTGGTTTGATTATGTGTCCAGATTTATTTATTTATTATTATTTATATTTTCTATTTGCTTGGAGTTCTCTGAGCTTCTTGGACATGTGGTTTTTATCTTTTATTAATTGTAGAAAATCCTCAGTCATTATCTTTTAAATATTTCTTCCGAAACTCCATTACCCTTATTTTAGACCACTTGATTCTGACCCAGTGTTTGTATGCTCTGTTGTTTGTTTGGGATTTGTTTTGTTTTGTTTTACCTTTTTTTTTTTCATTTTTTTGTCAGTTGGATAATTTTTACTGACATATTGTCAAGTTCAATGATTCCTTCTTCAATTGTGTGTAGTCTGTTGATAAGCCTGTCAAAGAAATTCTTCAATACACTATCATTTATTTCTACCATTTTCATTGTACTATGTGCTGAATTCACACATCTCTTCATGCAAATTTTGTCCACCTTTTCTGTTATATCCTTTAACATTTCAGTCACAGTTATTTTTAAGTTATTTTCTGATAATTTCAACATATGGATCTTCTTTCTGTGCTATTTACTTTATCTCCTGACAATGATTTTGTTTTCTCTTGCTTTTTTTGTATGTCTTATTTTTTTTAACTATATGTGTAGACATCACATAGAGAAGAACAGTAGAGGCTGAGGTGAATAATATTTATATCAAAAAATGATCCTACCTCTTTTGTAAGGCAATATGGGTGGTTGAGTTAATCTTACCAGATGTTGAGCTGGCTTTGGATTTTGCTAGTGCTCTTGTCACCTTTGATGCATCATTTCAGGTTACTCCAGGATTGGGCTACACTTCCTTTGTGTTTAGTGTGGGGTCTGAGGGGCTGGAGGGTTATTAGGCAGTGTTCTTGCATCACTCTCAGTTTTCAGTCATTCCTGTACTTTTAAGTCACAGAAGGCCTATTTCTTTATACTCTTCTCTTCTTGCCTGTTACTCAGTTCTGTGCTGGGGTAAGGGTGGGTGTGTGCTCAGGTTCTGCTGGATAGGCTTCAGCTGTAAGTTTACTTGGTGTTCTTGGTCTCTGGGGTCGACACTTTCTAGATGTTTGTGTCTCCATCCCCATGGCAGCCAAATTCTGCTTTGTATCTCTTGGCATGGTCTTGGGCAAGAATTTCCAGCCTCTCCCATAGTATTAGATCTCTGGTTTGTATTGATGCAAGAGCCTACACCAGAGTGGCCTTCCTGCCTTTTCTCCAGAGACAGATGGCTTTTGCTCATATCTTTCATCTAGAAACTGGATATTTTTTTGGGCTGTGCAGCAGGAAGTTTTCCTATCCCTTCCCCAGAAGCAGTACATCATTTCCTGGGTTCTAAAGGTAGAGAACCTTCTTACCTTATCCAGCTGACTTTAAGGCTTGCCTCATATGAGAGAAGGAAATAGGCCTGATTTTTAATCTTTCTCTTGATGGCAGCCTGTGCCTTGGTCCATCTGTGCTACCAGTGGGGGCTTCCTCTGTTACCTGCCCCTAATCTTTTTCATGAATACATAATTGAGGCCTGTGGCAAAGAGCTTGCAAATGAGATAGGCTTTCTGTTGTCACCGATTCCCACTTATTTTAAACTGTCATGCTATTTACCCTTGACCTTTAAATTTGGTAATATGTTACGTGATTATTGCTGCTGTTATGACGGCCACTTTCACCCTGGCAGAAGTGAAATAGTTAGGGGACCCATCTCTTCACAAAGAAACCTCTCACTCTTGGACATTCAGTTTCTTGGATGGCGTGTTACCTCAGTTCTCTGATGGGTTCATGAAAAATTATTTTTTTTAGATCATTTTGCTTTTTCTTAATGCTAGGTACAAATGTTCCCTGTGGCTTTTTAAATCCTAAGTAGAAGCAGAACTTTTGTGAAACTTGGAATTTCATCTGTATCTACATGTGTATGTCTTCTAAAATTAAATGTAAAACGTATTTCTTAATGTAAGTCAAAGTTAAAGTTTTTCAAAAGCTAATTTTTAGAAGAAGGTTGGCGACTTTAGTTCCATTTTTTGTGGTCCAGAATGATTACATTGGAGATATGCTGCCTACAGAAGTAGTTACTTTCTTAGACTTCTTTCATTTTTTTTTTGGCTATTGAAGTGACTTTTCCTGAATAAATAGAAGGAATAGCAAACATATCTTGAAAACTTATAATTTAAGAAATAACTGCATAGTTATTCTCTGTGGCACTCAAATTAACCCAAAGGAATTAGCTCCTTTCAGAAAGTTCCTCACACTCCTAAGATGTACTTGATTTAAAGAATTAGACTGAATATACTTTTTAAAAGAATATTTTCTCTGTGGCATCTTACTACACTGATGCACAGTGACTGCAATGGGGTATGGTAGGTGGGGAACTCGATAATATGGATGAATATAGCAACCAAATTGTTTTTCTTGTGAAACCTCCATCGGAATGTATATCAATGATACCTTAATAAAAAAATAAAGTAGAAAGGGTGAGTGCAGGATGGATAAAATATATATATATTTATTTTCTCTTATTTACATTCTTAGAGTTTTGGAGGCTGGAAAAGCAAATGTTATTTTACCAAATAGTTCACCAAGTGGAATAACTCATGTGATTGCCACTAATGCAAGAATCAAGGCTGAACAAGAAAAAGATAACTTTAAGGCTCCATTTTATCCAATTCAGTATCTAGGGGATTTTCTTTTAGAGGTAAGTAAAATAGATAGTATATATTTTTTAATATTTATTTTATAAAATACTTATATATAATGAAATATATATTAACATTAAATTATGGTCCAAATTTTGAAAGTACAATGTTGGAAGTAATTAAAATGACATTTTTAAGGCATTGTTCTCAATTATTTCAGTATTCAAGACTACTTCTGATACATCTGGAAGAAGCTTGCTTGTTAAGTTTAAAATTTGTCTTGAGTTTCCTTGTTTTCAGTGCTATAGTGATGTGTACTACAAGATAATTTTTGCATTTTAATTTCAGAGCATAGATAAAATAACAGTGGACCATAATATCATAGAGCATCATATGAGAATTTTTGGATTATTTTCCATTGGAAAACAGGGAGCTATTTCTAAGGATTTGAAAGTACTTTCTTGTCCTATTCTTCTGCCTCTGTCCACTTGGTGCAAATACCACTTGAGTAGTTTAAATGGGGACAATCTTAGAAAACACCCTCTAAAGATACACAAAGAAAAATTTTTAAGAAAGTTCACTTAAATTAGAAGAGAAACCTCAGTATTCTTAAAACTGCACTTTGATCTTCTAGGAAAAACAGACTCCTTCAGTGTTTCCCATCTTAATAGTATTATGACCTTTTATCAAATGATTTATGTTAGAAACCTGGGAAGCACCCTCAAGGGTGCTTCCTCTCCCTTATTCCCCACATCATGTCAATTACCAATTCTACTGATTATATCTTAACTGCCTCTTGAATCACATTGCTCTCCTGTACTAACATCATATCGAGTTCATCCTTTTCCCCTGCAATTCTGAAATAGACCTTTAATTACTCTTGCTGTTACTATACCTTTTTACTCTTGCTAATTTCTGAACTACTCTTACCTGTTTCTTACCTACCCCATTCTACTTCATTCAAGAGCCAAAATGCTCTTTCTAAAACAGTTCTATTTCTGTCACTCTCCTGCTCAAAATCCTCCAGTGGCTTCCCATTGCCCTTAGGATAAAGTCACAAAACCTCTGACATGGCTTATAAGTTCCCACAGGATGCCTGTCTTTCCTGCCTTTCAGCTGTATCCTGTTCCACTTTTTTATAAGCTCACTTTGCTATAACAAAACTGCCTTCTCCCTATTCCTTAACCAGGCTAAGCTACTTTCTACCTCAGTGTCTTTTCAAAAGCTATTTTCTCTGCCTGAAAAGGTGCTCCCCACTACTTTTTCATTTCCTGTGCCTGTCTGCCTTCTGCTTATCATTCAGGTTCCAGTTATGTTGCCTCTTCAAAAACATCTCTGTAGTCCTCTTATAGTTAGTGTCACCTATAATGTGTTCTCATAGCATTTTTTGGCTTTGTAATACTCATCACAGTTGTAATAAATTGGCTGATTACTTAATGTTTATTTCCCAAATAATGTCCATCTAAACCAAAAATACCATATCACCAAGGGTGATGTCTGCCTTTTCCATTGTATCTGAATCATCTTGCCTAAAGCCTGGCACTTGAGTTCTCATATTTGTTAGATTAGTTGAGAAATTATGAAAGACCTTTGAGTTTTCCAAGAGTAGATGTAATATATTATTCTATAATTGCCTTTCCCCACTGAGAAGCAACAATGTAGATTGGAAATTTGACCTTAGTTCAAGGTATGAATCTGTTTGGACTATGGATAATCTCATTGCCCTTGACAGTGATTGGTCTAGGAATGGGCATGTGAACCAGTTCTGATCTTTGGAACATAAAGAGAGGTATGTAAGAGTTTCTAGGATGTTTCTTCCCATTCTGGCAACCTAACTCCTCCTACATGTATGTGAACATGGAAGAAGGTAACCTCAGTTACTACTAGCATTCATTCTTTGACTGTGAGAAATAGCCTTACGGTGAAACCAACCCTGTAGACAGCAAAATGTAGAGACAGACAGGGGATCCTTGTTGAAATACTTAAGTTGCTAGACTAACCAACTGTGAAACCTGTCTTAGCGCTGGACCACATTGCTATTCTGTGAGGTACTACATTTTCTCATTTATATTACTTTGAGTTGATTTTCTATTACTTGCAGCCAAAAGCATCCTATCTGATCTGCCTCTCTGAACAGTTTAAAGGTAGTATGTCAACAGAATGAATGCCATTCTTAACTAGATTAACAAAAGTAACTGAATTTTCCTTTTTGTATGGAAAAAAAATGAATAAAGTATAATGTACTTTGGGCTTTATCTTAATTTGCATTAATCTCACAATAAGATTCAGCTGCTGAAATACTGGAGGGCAGCAATAGTATATCAAGTAAAAATAGCAGATAATCTCTAACCTACATTTGTTTTTAGAATACCTTGGATTAGATAGCTGGGAGTTCATAAACATCATTCCAAATAAGGAAGACATTTTGTGATCACTTCTCAGGAAAAAACAGACATTGAACTTATTGATGCCTTGCTTTTCTTTGACCACTTTGGCAAAGAGCATACTACATTCCTAACTAAATGAATTCTAAAGTCTCCTCTAAGAAGAGTTTTGTTTAACCTACTTATACTTTTTTGGAACCTGCTGAATGGCAGAATCAGGAATCTATGTAGTTCAGGTTTATAGGTAATTACTGAAGACTTTTGCTATACCAGGTACCATGCTATGCATTAGGGAAAATGAGTAAGACCATGTCAGACTTTGAGTGCTTATTACTATTCAGTGGTAAAAACAGAACATGGAAACAATTGATTACTATTCAGCGTATATTGTGCACTGGTAAAATTATGTGTGAGGAACAGGAATGCAGAGGAACAAATGACTGATGTATCTAAATTGTTTGGTCCTAGGAAGGCTTCACAAAAAGGGGAGGACACTTAAGAGTACTTAAAATTTCTTTCCACTATCTACCTAAGAAAGAAAGTGAACCATAGAAAAATCTCAGGGAAATTTAGTAGGAGTAATGGGGAAAAAAACAAAAAACTTTTTGGGCCACATCAACTAATCTGTGACCCAGATTTATAATTTATATTCAAACTCACTTTATCCCCCTTCAAGTTTTCCTTAACAGAAATTGTTGTTTGTACATTCAGAGTAATTCTTTCTTTGATGCCAGGAATAGGAAGGAAAAAAGTCATCATTTTTCTTAGCTGTCAATTTAACTTTTCTGCGTAACTGAAGAAATCAGCTACACTCAGGGATTTTTCCCTGGTTGCAGGATTGCAGCCTGCTGAAGGGCCCTCACATCCATAAAGGAAGCAGCACAAGTGAAAGGGACCTGAAGATCACACCACAGACACCATAGACCTTATCATATTGCAATTTAGGTCCTTAGGAAGACATGTTTTTCCTGTCTTAACAGTGGAAAGGTAGTGAATCCCTGAATACCCTTTCATAAGTACATTTTGGGAACTGTCATGAACTCAACTTTACTCCCATCTCTGTTACTAAACTTTTAGAATTATATAGGTACATATGCAAATATTTTAAGACTTATTGCCATTGGGTGATTTATGAATTCAGTTTGGATTTCTTGGCAAGAGAAATTTAAATGTTTGAGGTAAATGTTAAGTGAAGATAATTGTTTATTGCTATTTAAGTAAAGTAAGAACTGTGAATTCAGTGTTAGCCACTTTTTCTGTGTAGTACATTTGCAAATAAGAAGTCTCATCAGTAAAACAATGAAAATAATCTGAGAAGTAATCTATGTATAATCTGAAAAATTTTTATCTAGATTGTAACTTCAACTAGGACAGGGACTCGATTAAAAATTTTTGTTTGTGATTTTCACAAAAAGGATTCTTTGTTACTAGACCATTAAAAAGCATTAGCCTATTTTTGAGATATACAAAGCCATTTTATTTCAGGACCTTTGTTGTGATTTTTTTCCTCAAAAGTATTTACTAGTGTTTAATTACCTTTGTTTTAGAAGAGTACATTTTACCTACCTGCTTGACTATTAAAGCATTTTACATTTGGAAACCATACAAGTACAGAATGTTGAAATTACACTTAATTGATCTCCTAAACCATTCTTACATACAGAAAGAAATTCAGAATGATGAAGATTCCCAGACCAATTCTGTTTGGAATAAACAAAGCAATCAAGAAAAAAACAAAGATTTCAGTGAAGATATGGGATTTGAAATGAAAGGTGCCTTAAAAGAGACCATGTGTAGAACCCAGGTAAAACTTCATAGGTTAGAGAATTTCCAGTTCTTCTTACAAAATTGTTCGAGAAACAATATATTGTGGGAATAACATGGATTTTGGAATCACAGAGCTGTTACCTGAACCCAGCTCTGTGTTTTATAGCCCATTATTTGTGCATACAAGGATATTGCCTTATGTCTCTATTTAGAGACTCTTACTGGAATAATGTATATGCATATAGAAACAGAGTACCTAACATATAGTATATTCTAACACATAGTAATTACTCAAAACTCCTTGTATGTTTAATATAACATGACTTATAAAGGATTCTTATCTGTCAGCAATATGTATATTCATAATTCATGATGTAAATTCAAGTATGTTGCTGCATTTAGAACAATTTCTTAAGTGACACAAATAAATTTTTTCTTTTTAAATATGGAAAACAAAAAACAGGAAGAACTTTGAGCTTGGAACAATGAGAAATTCCTTAAGAAAGCATGTATGTGACTCTCAAGTAAAATTTTTCAAATAGCAGCAGCAACTAAAAAAAAGACATTATTCTGTCCTACAAGAGCTAATGTTCAGTTATGTTCAACTTCATATTGTGTTTTAGAAAACAGACTATTTAGTTGTTTTACCAAATCATTAGTCTACTGATTATTAGTCTAAAATGTTTAAATATGACTAGAAAAAGGTTAAAAATTCTGTTTTTGCTGCACCTGTCAAAAGTTTTAGGGAGAATTCTGAGAACAATTTGGAACTTTTTAAACTGATAAAACTTCCCAGGAATCTAAAATGTTTTTGCAATTTTTCTCTTACTTTTCCAAAGAATGGTTGATAGTTATACAACTTACAAGACTACTTCCTATTATGATAATTACATGTACATGGTCTTTTTTAAAAAAAAAAGGCTTTTTGAGTTGATGTGTCTGTTGAAATGTGCATTATTAACCACAGTATACAACTTTACTTATAGAAAGGAATGTAATGTTATTAAGATAAATTTATTTTTATTTAACATAGAAAAGAGAATCAAGTGGAGATTTTATGGAAAGAAAGGGAAATTATTAAAATACATCTACATATATCTTGATTTCCTTTTAGAGCTCAAGAACATGAATATAAAGTTAAGGTAGAAATTTCCATTTAAAAAAAATAAATTTGTGTAATGAATAAATAATATTTGTGATGCTCTTTATAGGTATGTCCTATAAAAATTTTTCTTGAAGTGCTTCATTTGATTTTCCCAATAAAGACAAAATTCTCTTTGTCTATAGCCTAAGTTATTTTTACAGATGTTTAGAAAAATAAAATAATGAAATAACCAAATTCTGATTTGACTAATCATCTGACAAATAGGAAGGGAAAAGCAGAGATTCCAAGAAAGATTACATTAAAGTGCCTGAATTAAATGTATACTTTAACACAATATAACCCTTTGTGAACTAAAAATCTTCTCTGCTTCATGTTAGTATAAGTAAGATGTAATGTAATTCATAAGGCTCTTTATTATGAATCTTTTATGTATGTTTTACAAAACTGGCTTTCCTGAGTGGGTTTTCCTGTTGTGATTTGAGCTAATTGTGTTGAGGCTATGTTAATCCACAGTCTGACTAAAGTATTTTTACTGACTTGCAGAAAGAAATACAAAATCATGATGAAGATGTTAATGTTAGTTCTATTTTGACTGAACATCACAAAGAAGAAAAATTCAGAGGTTCCAGTAAAGATTTGAAATTTGTAAAAATGAAATATGCCTTACGAAGGCACACATACGAAAATCCGGTAAGACCTTATACATTAAAAGTAATTAGTTATATTTTATGGCTCTTTTAAAACTACCGAATATAATGATATTCATGAAATTGTGATTTCTGAATTATACACAAAAAAATATTTGTAAAGTATTTGTGTACAGTTTTAAAAAGAATACGAAAATGAGTGCTATGTACCCACCAGCTAGTTTAAGAAACAGAGCATTAACAGCTTTTTAAGATCCTGCTGTCATTTAAAAACTCTTTCCTTGTTTTCTCCCTGTTACCTAGTGGTAACCTGTCTTGAAATTGGTGTTTATTATTTCCTTATTTGTCATTATAGTTTTACTAGCTATGTATGTATTTCTAATAATATATTGTTTAATTTTGCCTGTTAATGAACTTTTTGCAGTTCATAGTACTTATAATCATAAGTGACTTGGTGTTTTTTTGCTGGTGTATATGATGTTACATTGTTTCACAATTTTGTCTTTTATCCTTTTGGCTATTGATAAGCATTTGGGTTTCTTTTTGTTGATTTGTGTTTGATTAATTGGTTAGTTTTTACAGTTATGAACAATTCTGCCACAAACAGTCAATTTTTTCTAATGTGACTGTGGGTGTACATGTTCAAGAGTTTCTCTAGCTTATTCTTAGGAGTGGAATTGCTTGGTTTATAAAGACTGCATGTTTGACTGTATTAGGTAATGCCCAACTGTTTTCCAAAATGTTTTACAAATGTATACCCAGTTCAACATGGATGAGCTTTTCCCTTGTATATAACTCTATTATTCTTTAAATGTGGTATACTTTTGTTAAAAGTCAGACACTTCTTGCATTTATTTGGATTTTGTAACAGATTCATGTTAACATTTGTTTAATTGTGGTCTAAATACATGTAGAAGGAAATTAAGAAAAAAGATGAAGATATTCAAAGGAATTATACTTTGAGGAAAAAACGGAAAAAAGAAAGAAATTCCAGAAAGGACATTGAACGTGACAAAATTAGAAGTACCTTAAGAAAGCACATATATACAGATGTGCTTAGTTTACAGGGGTAAAACTAAGCTAAGTCAAAGAGTTTTCTTTTTATCTAGTTCTTTCCTAATATAATCCAGACATACAGTCTGATTTTTTAATTGTTTGCTGTGTTAAATATAACAGCGCTTCTTATGGAAAAAAATCATCTTGAGTTAATATGCTGAGATATTCATAATTAATTTATAATTATCCTTGATTCACAATGGGAGTATTTTTACATTAAGTACACAAAGAAATTTGAATTAATAATCAGGATATTCAAATAAATTTTGTTTTGCTTGAAAAAAAAGGAAACAAATGTTCTAACAAAGAAGCTTAAGCTTTTAATATGAAAGCTCTTAAAATGTATGTGTATGTAGTTTGTGTAATACATTCTGATCTAAATTTTAGTTTTTGTCTTGCTTAAGCCAGACCATTTTTAATAAGGTAGCTTGTCTTTTAAGTGGGATCCTTCTTGAGTTAGTTTTTTAGATTATAACTTTGTTTTAAAGTCTGAACTACAACATGTTTATATACATATATTCAGAAGGATCTTCAGAGATATGATAAAGGTATGGATCATATTTTGTGTAAACATGGCAACAAAGAAAAAAAAGAGAGAGAGGTCTCTGGAAATATATGGAACAGGTTAGAATGAAAAGTACCTTAAGAAACTACATATATAAATATCAGGTAAAACTTCAAAATTAAAATGTTTGCTCTTTTTAACTTTTTATTTCATTTTATAATCTTTATATATCTGATTTTAAGGATTTTTCTGTGGTTAATTAACACTGCATGAATGTGTTCTTGTGTTATACTCCATTGTGATATTTGATGTTTGTATTGACACTGTCTTTAGCACACTTTCTAAAGTACTTTTATGTGCACGCAGAAGGAAGTGAAGAATTCTCTTTTTGCTGATCATGCCAAAGAATCAGAAACCAAGCATGTCAGGACAGATGTGGATATTTCTGAAATAAAAAATGCCTTAAGGAAGCACATATATAAAGCTCAGGTAGAACTTGACATACTAAAAAATTTGTGTAGTTTCTTTTCCTTCTCTAGTGTAACCAAAGTATAATAATCATAACAGATGACTATTATGTTTGGTAAGTCTTAAAATAGTTCTAATAGTTCATTAATTTGTTTTAAGTTTTAATATATTTAAGTTTTAATAATTTGTTTTAAGTTCATTAATTTGTTTTAATATAATTAGGCATTTAGTAAATATGCTGAATTCTTTGCTCTTTATACTTCAGTGGTGTTACAGATAAACTGTAGGTATTAGGTATATTGCAGACTGCTGTAATTTGTTGCTGCTGCTTGTTAGCATGATGTTGGAGGGTGAGGGCTGAAAGATCGTTTGTTCTGTTCTGGTTGGGACAGCCTGTCTTAAGCAGGCATAGAGGCCCTGGGTTTTGGGTAAAGGCTTTCTCAATGATCATACCCTGCCCCTAGTGGTAGAGGATCTTTAAGAGAGGATCTTTAAGACCACAATCTGTTCCTACTCCTCTTCAGGGATAGTCTTTTTCTGCACATGTGTGCATGTGTACTTGCGTGTGTGTGTGTGTGTTGCCTTTTCACCAAGAGGGAGGTTGGCTTTAGTCTCCTGTCCTGTCTCGTGTTTTTTGGCATGAGCACCCAGTAAGGTCCATGGAGAAGATCCTGCCATTGACAAATTCCCCTTGTGTCTTTGATTCCCGGGGTTTCTGTTCCTTCATGCCAGCACACACTAGGCCTATAGTAAATGGTGAAAACTTTTAGCTGAAATTTTCATACCTACTTTAATGGAGACCTCCTCCTCCTACCAAGCTTTGTCTCAGATAAGTCAGTGCTGATATTCCATGTCTTTGGACACTCCTGTCTTCATGTTTCAGTGTGCTTGGTCACATTAAGATCTCTGTGTCTTATGAGTTCAAGAAAAATTAAGATTTGGTAGATTTTACAACTTCTCTTGTTCATAATGTGGGATCACCTTTTTCCAGCTTTCTACATCCTAAGCAGAAGCCAAAGCTATGTCATTGCTCTAATTTATATCTCTCTGGTAGTAGCAACTTTGAGCATATTTTATACCTTCACTTGTTATTTTTGTATTTCTTCTTCTCTGAATTGCCTATTCATTTTCTTTTTTAATTTTCCATTAGGTTGTTTTACATCTTTGTTTCTAGAACTCTTTATGTAATCAGGATATTCTCTTTTTATGCTTAACACATATTTTTCCAGTATAATCTTTTAAGCAAATACATGATTGTGGGTATTTTAAAACAATAGAGAAAGATTTTACTTGTGATTCTATAGAGAACATGACTGCAGTTTTTTCTCCTATTGACTCTTACACAAACTGTTCTTCACATTTGTATTTCTAATTACAGTACTAAGGGCAAAAGACCTTTTCAGGTCTTCAAAGTGAATATGGCTTTACCTTCTAAGTTATTTTCATTTAGAAGGGGAAAATAGAGAATGTTCATACTCATGAGTGTCATTACCCTAAAATTATGGCAGTTGTTAGTCTGAGCAAACATGAGTATCAGATCAATTATCACTATCAATGTCTTCCTGAATCTGTTTTTTTAAGTTTGGTCAACATTTTATGTTTGGTAAGCTGAAATGTATTTTTTGACCTAAACATGTTTAATTTTAGTTAAATGATTGCTGTTTTGTAGGCTATCCGATACAGCTGCATTAGAATAGATAAACAACCAGTATACAATATCGAGGTAAGGGGCTTGGAGTAGGGTGGTTATGGGGGCAAAAAGGAAGTTTTGTTTCATGTTGTTTTTAGTTATTTTGATATAAAGGAATGTATTGTCAGCATAGACAGTTCCTATCAAATTTGAAATGTAATTTCTCTAATTAGAAATAGAATACTGTTGTATGTCAAAGCTCCAAAAATAATTCCATTTGGTAGTAAAAACTGGTACTGGAAATTAAAAATTTATCTTGTGTTATCATGTGTGCCTGTTCTCACATTTCATAGTTTTCATAATTACAACTTATAGACTGAATTTTCAGTATATTTACAAAAATATATTATTTCCTTTATATCATTATGCATTTTTTTAATTAAGGTATCATACACACTTTTACAAAGGTTTCACAAGCAAAACAATATAGTTATTACATTCACCCTTATTATCGAGCCCCCGCCCCATACTCCAGTGCAGTCACTGTCCATCAGTGTAGTAAGATGTCACAGAGTCTCTATTTGTCTTCTCTGAACTGCACTGTCTTCCCCGTGACCCCACTCAACACCAAATCATGATAACCCACAATCCCCTTCTCCTTCCCTCCCCACCCACCCTCTCCCATCCCCCCCCTTTGGTAACAGCTAGTCCCTTCTTGGAGTCTCTGAGTCTGCTGCTTTTTTGTTCCTTCAGTTTTGCTTCATTGTTACACTCCACAAATGAAGGAAATCATTTTGTATTTGTCTTTCTCTGCCTAACTTTTTTCACTGAGCGTAATACCCTCTAGCTCTATCCATGTTGTTGCAAATGGTAGGATTTGTTTTCCTATGGCTGAATAGTATTCCATTTTGTATATGTACCACATCTTCTTTATCTATTCATCTATTGATGGACACTTAGGTTGCTTCCATATCTTGGCTATTGTAAATAGTGCTGCAATAAACATAGGAGATTATGCATTCTTTTAAAATTGTTTTATTCCATGTAGTCTTTCAGAGTGTTTTTGATTGTCAGTTAGTTCAAAGTAGTTGCATTTATTTTATTGTTAAAAATATTTTGACTGAGGGAAATGTATTTTGTGGAACTCAGTTTTACTAATGTACATTCTCAGAGTGATTTCCTAGTACTGTACAATTGTCACTTTTTGCAGATATTGATTGTGTTTGATGGCACCTTTGTATATTATATTGAGTTTATCTTAATAGGCATCGTTTGCTTATGTTTAAAGGAAAACCACAAAATAATTTTGCACCTAAAGAACTATATGTAGTTATAACTCAGAGCTCCTCATTATCAGCCACACTTTGCAAATGTCTTTTAAATTTTTCTTCTGGAGATGGTATTCTCCTTACTATTTAAGGCAACATAGAATAATAAATAAAACAATCAATGTATATTTTTGCAGTGCCTTATAGTTGTAAAACACATTCATAAGAATCATCCTTTTTGAACCACATTCACAATCCTGTGTAATTGTTAAGGACAGAAATTATCTTCATTTACTGAGAAAATTAAGGCTTCTTGTTTAAGGTTTGATCCCAAATTTTACCCATCTCTTGAGTCATAGAATCTTTCCTTTCTTAGGTTAAAAATGCTGAATTTCCCAGAGGTGTATTAAATTTAATTGAAAGCCTCATAGAAGGACAGTTTTTTAAAGAAGCAATTGAAGAAATTTCCTCTTTGCAAGCACAGTATATTCCTCCTGTATGCCTTCTTCATGCTCTTCTAGAGAACATTCTACAGGTAAGAGCAGTCAGAAGTGCTTATAATCTTTCAAATAATGTTAATGTATGAACATTTTCTCAGTCCGTGTGTTTGCAGTTTATCATTTCAATATTTTTCCCCTCATTTTATAGGAAATATGGTACCCATTTATTATAATTTCTTTTCTATTTTTAAACTATTTAGTAGGTTTACTCTGAGTGCCTTCACATTATTTTCTCAGTTTCCAAGATAGTTTTCTCTTGGAAAAAATATATGTGTTTTTTTTATATGGCCGTAAAATATCTAACTTTATAAAATACAAAATATTCATATAAAGTATAAAAATCAGATTACAATGATCTAGAATTTCATGTGGTAAATTACTCCTTTATTTGTTGGTAATAATCATTTGTATTCATAGTATGCATAGTTAATGAACATATTCCTTAAACTGTGAAAAACAATGGGAACAGTTTTTCAAAGGTAGCTTTCTAATCATACTCTTCAACAGAGTACCATTTTGAAGAAATAACAAGTATAAGCTATGTTAGACTAATATTGGTGATAAGTAAGAATGTTTTCATGAAAAGTTTATCTTTAGTTCCTTTGAGAAGTCTTTGAGAACTCTTAACCTCACTATAATCATGAAAAATAAAATGGACTTTTCATGTAAGTTAGTCCCAAAAGCAAGGATTACCTAGTATGTGGATACATATTGACAGTGTGCATCTCTCTCAGTTGCACTATTTAATTAACTGAACATAGTACTTCCATCTGATTTCCTTGTTCCAAACACATATATCTGGCAAGAGAGGCCAGTTATTAGAGTTAAGACTGAATTAGTGAAACTTACTTTTCAGCTATAGCATTTTGTTTGTTTGTTTTAAATAATAGGATAACATAGATATGTTTTCTGGTCGATACTTTCATGTATGGTCAGCTCTTCTTCACCTACATCCTCCTTGGAAGTCCCCAGCCATGTCAAGATATTACTTAGAATTGTTTCAGTGTCCAACTTGTATGAAAGGAGCGTGGTCTCTAATAGAAGTGCTTATCAGGTAAGGAATTTTACATGTGAGGCTGCTAAATTTCACCTAGTAGTTACTATCTATGTAATTTTTAGATAGTGATGAAAAAGTACATTTCCTTTTTGAAAAAGCTTCTGTATGTGTGTATAGTATGTTTATGTGTTGTATTTGTTGTAAAGCTCTTGTTACAAAAAGGCCAAGTCTAAATTGGTCATAGTTATCAACCAGTTTATAAAAAAATTAGTGTTTACTGAAATATGAAATGTACTTACAGGAAAACAAATTATTTGTATGTTTATTTTTTAAACCAAATGTATTTACATGCATTCAGTTTTTTAAAAAAAACTAATTTGTAATTTCACAGATAGAAGTCCGTCATTAACTCACACATCACCTGTAGAAAGTTAGATTCCTTATCAAAACATGTAAGACCCTTCATGATTTAGCCCTTATGTATGTCCTCATCTTAATCATTTTCCCAAATGTGTCCAGTGACAACTAGTTTTCATTTCCTATCTCTTTGCTCTTATATTTTCTCTGCCTATACATTCTTGCCACCCCACAAGTATCTGTTCAACTCCTAATCATCCTTTAAAATGCAACTTAGGTTCCACTTCCTAATTTTTGCCCTTTCCTTTGTTTGTCACTCACATTAGCCTCTGACTTTCTTAAGAATAGATGCTAAATATATCTATCCTAGGTGCTTAATATAATTCTTGGAACATAATAAGTGCTTAATAAGTGATCAAATTAATTGATGCTACAGGAGATAGAATTTGGACATCTTAAAAATAGACTTTTAAATAAGCATAAATACCCTATTTCATTTCAAAATAATTCAGTTCACTGAGGAAGGAGACAAGGGAAGTGGTGGTAGTATAAATGAGCTGAATGATAATAGGCTACTTTTGAATGCATTTGAAATATTACATTATACAAGTTTTAAAAAATCCAAAAAGATTCTATGGTACCCATCTCTGGTGGTTTTCAATAGACTGGATAAACTATATGGGCATGGAGGATCTTATAGAATAGACTCAAGTATAGAATGGTTAGATTTAGTAGGTATTAATGACTTACCTAGTCTGACAATGGGGTATTCAAAAAGAAGGCAGGAAAGGTGGAGACAGATGTAGAAAGTACACTGTTGATATAATTGATGGTAAAGTTGGAAGATTATGATAAATATTGTCTAGATTTTATCTTTCTCAGACCTAGAGTTCTGAGTAATCTTATATTCTAAGAAAAACACCCTAGAACTGTGCTACCCATCATAGTAACCACTAGCCGTATGTGCCTATATTTAAATTTAGTTAAAATTAAATGATTAAAAATTTGTGTCCTGAGTTGCACAAGCTACATTTCAAGTGTTCAGTAGAACATACCCATTATCATAGGAAGTTCTCTTGGATAAAACTATAGAAGATGGAAAGAGAATAAATACTGAATTTTTTAAATTTACAAAACAGCCGAGTGACCTTCATGTTACTAAATAACAAAAAAAAAAGTTACCTTGAGTAAGAGAATGATTATTGAGAATATTATAAATTAAGAGTACAGCTGGTCATCTGAATCAAAAGGGTTTAAATTTTTTGTTCTTTATTAGTGAAATAAAGAGTACAAAGAGTACCAGATAATTATTAAACATTACAATCACTGAAATACAGATAAATTAGGTCTGTATTATTATAAATTCAGTGCCATGAGATATTTGAAATGCCTTAATTTTTTGAAGGAAGAAAATATATTATTAGTAAAATGTTAAACTTGCTTTATATTTTGTTGGAGCAAATTTTAAAATTCCAGTAATATTCAAATAAAAGAAATATTTTGCCCACAAATTACTCAGTGAATTGCTTGTATGTTATAAATTGCTTGGTTATTGCTTTTCAGGTCTTGCCTTTTCAATGAAGGCTTCTGTCATCAAATTTCAAAAAACAGCTCTAAGGTGCTCCACCTGACATTGCTCAAATTTTTCTTTAATTTAGTTGAAAGTGAAGTGCAACATCTGAGTCAAAAGTAAGTATTTATTAAACACCAAAAATACATTATCTACATATTATTTTATGTACCATTTTTCTAATCATTTATATATATAATTATAAAAAATAAACCTTGTTTTTTAAAGTAGACTTAATTTAAAAACTTATTTTCAGACACTGTCTTCAGTGGCAGTAAGGTATTATGCACTTTTTGTTTTCTTAGTTCACATTTTTATTTTTTACTAACATACATTTGGGTAGGGTAAGAGCATTTTTTTTCAGAATTTTTCATAATTTAAAAAATTATTTAGTAATTGAATGCTTAAGTAAAGAGCTACAGGAGTTTTTAATACTGAATCTGTAATATCCATGATGTTTGTGTATGCTCTAAACTTGCAATTAAATTATGGTGTGAACTTGTTGAGATTATATTGAAATAAGGCCATTTAAAAAATTTTGTCCTTTGTTGTAATTATATATTATAATCTTATGTTAAAACCTTTATTCAGAAATTGCTAGAACTTTTTTGTCCATTTTATGTCAAAACATACTATGCCTAGTAACAGTAGTGATCAAGTTGGTATAAAAAGTACTTTTCATTTCTGTTTTCATTAGGTTGTATGACTGGTCTGATTCTCAGAGTCTGAAAATAACAGGAAAGGCAATTCTTCTTGAAATATTTTGGTCAGGAAGTGAGACTTCTGGGCTTTTGACCAAACCTGTAAATATGCTTTTGGATTGGACTATATATTCTCACAAGGAAAAATGCAAGTCTAATGATGTAAGTGGGATTAATTTACACATGAATAATGGCATATGAAGAAGTGTATCTTTGAATTATTCATCTTTTTTCTTCCCCCTATTATTTGACTGACTTGAAAACAATTTAATCATACTTCAACATATCATTGTTTTCTATTTAGTGTATCTAGTTTTAAGGTAAAAGGTCCTTAGAGACTGGTTTCTTCATTATTACATTTGAATGTAATGACTAAGAATAGTTATTTGATCATTACTACAAAGAAATCTATAGTGACTTAACATTCTACATTTTTTACTTTGTACATTTCAAATCTGAAGAAATCTATGATTTAAAGTTTGAGTAAATCCATACAATTTTTTGTGTATTACTAATAACATTTTTAAAAATGTTCCTAAAATTACCATTTTGGGTGCTAAGAGTTATTTCCTGACTATTTCTTCATAAGTAGATCTTGCTTGTCATTAGCAATTTAACATACACTGGTTTTAATTTATTATCTATTTATCTTAAGGGTAGTTGGGAAAATTAAGTGCAGTAAAATATGTAGAGTGCATGGCAACATACTGTGCCACATTTTGTGTGCATAATATTAATCACCTTTCTCCTTTTCATAATGATCTGCCTTTGGGACTTACTGTCTTCGTTATATCATTAATTTCTGCTCTTATTTTTAGAATTCTTTCTTTTTACTTTCTCTTTATTAAATGTTGTTTGGGTCTTTTTTCTTTTTAGTCTTTATTTTAATATATACACTTAATATAAATTGCCTTTCAAGTACCACTTGAGATTCCACTGGTTCTGCTACTTTAATCTACAGTTCTCTTACTGTTTTTTCAAAGTCTTTTTTATTGTCAATTATGAATTCCTCTTTGATCCAAGAAGCATTTTAAAAGACTGTTTGAAAACTCATAAGTAGATGGATTTTTGTTGTTGCAGTGGATTTGTCTGTGCTTTTGTTGTTAGTTCCTAGAAGTAAATGATCATTAAAAATGAACCCTGCATAATTTCTGCTTTTCTGAAAACAAGTCAGCTTTTTTTTTGGACTCTCTATATAAGATTAGGGGCCAAAATGTGTGTCCCATGATGCTTTACATTGTTCTCTATCACCTATTAGGCCAAGCTTAATCATTGGTTTAATCAATTCTTTTGAACTTACTTTGTGAATGTGTTCATTTATTTTGCTTTTTATGCCAACAGTTTGTTTTGTTTGGTTTTTCTGTTTGTTTTTGTTTTTGGTTTTGGTTTTTTATTAAGGCATCATTGATGTGCAATCTTATGAAGGTTTCACATGAGCAACATTGTGGTTACCACATTCACCCATATCATCAAGACCCCCACATGCACCATAGCAGTCACTGTCCATCAGCATAGTAAGATACCACAGAGTCACTAGTTGTCTTCTCTGTGCTATAATGTCTTCCCCGTGACCCCTACACACACCAGGTGTACCAATCATAATACCTCTCAATCCCCTTTTCCCTCCCTTCCCCACCTTTAGTAACCACTAGTCCCTTTTTGGAGTCTGTGAGTCTGCTGCTGTTTTGTTCCTTTAGTTTTGCTTTGTTGTTATACTCCACAAATGAGTGAAATCATTTGGTACTTGTCTTTCTCCGCCTGGCTTATTTCACTGAGCATAATACCCTCTAGCTCCATCTATGTCGTTGCAAATGGTAGGATTTGTTTTATCCTTATGGCTGAATAATATTCCATTGTGTATATGTACCACATCTTCTTTTTCCATTCATCTATTGATGGACAATTAGGTTGCTTCCATGTCTTGGCTATTGTAAATAGTGCTGTGATAAACATAGGGTGCATATATTTTTTTGAATCTGTGATCTTGTTTTCTTCAAGTAAATTCCGAGGAGTGGAATTCCTGGGTCAAATGACATTTCTATTTTTACTGTTTTGAGGAAACTCCATATTGCTTTCCACAATGGTTGGACTAATTTACAATCCCATCAGCAGTGTAGGAGGGTTCCCCTTTCTCCACATCCTTGCCAGCACTTTTTTTCCTTGTCTTTTGGATGTTGGCCATCCTGACTGGTGTGAGGTAGTATCTCACTGTGGTTTTAATTTGCATTTCCCTGATAATTAGCAATGTGGAGCATCTATTCATGTGTCTGTTGGTCATCTGAATTTCTTGGGAGAAGTATCTGCTCAATCCTCTGCCCATTTTTTAATCGGGTAATTTGAATGTTGCTTTTTGGGTGTTGAGGTATGTGAGTTCTTTATATATTTTGGATGTTAACCCATTGTCGAATATGTCAGTTACAAACATATTCTCCCATACTGTATGATGCCTTTTTGTTCTACTGGTGGTGCCCTTTGCTGTACAAAAGCTTTTTCGTTTGATGCAGTCCCATTTGTTCATTTTTGCTTTTGTTTCCCTTGCCCAAGTAGATGCATTTAGGAAAAAGTTGCTCATATTTATATTCAAGAGAGTTTTGCCTATGTTTTCTTCTAAGAATTTTATGGTTTCATGACTTACATTCAGGTATTTGATCCATTTCAAGTTTACTTTTGTGTATGGGGTTAGACGATAATCCCGTTTCATTCTCTTAGATGTAGCTGTCCAGTTTTGACAACACCAGTTGTTGAAGAGGCTGTCATTTCCCCATTGTATGTCCATGGCTCCTTTATTGTATATTAATTGACCATATATGATTGGGTTTATATCTGGGCTCTCTATTCTGTTCCATTGGTCTATGGATCTGTTCTGTGCCAGTACCAAATTGTCTTGATTACTGTGACTTTGTAGTAAAGCTTGACATTGGGGAGCATAATCCCCCCAGCTTTATTCTTCCTTCCCAGGATTTCTTTGGCTATTGGGGGTCTTTTGTGGTTCCATATGAATTTTAGAACTATGTTCTAGTTCATTGAAGAATGCTATCAATATTTTGATAGGGATTGCCCTGAATCTGTAGATTGCTTTAGGCAGGATGGCCATTTGACAATATTAATTCTTCCTAGCTATGAGCACGGGATGTATTTCCATTTATTGGTATCTTACTTTACCCTTTTCTGTGAGGTTTTCCCCAGATGTAGTCAGTCTGTCACAGTCTTCAGGTTGCTCTTTCAGGATTAATTTATTTGCTGTATTTTCATGTTATATGTGGTTTTGGAAGAAGTTTTCTGTCTCACTTCTCATGTCGCCATCATTTTCCACCCTCGCTAACAATTTCTCTATTTTATGTATAGTCATTCATAGTGGTTAGTGTGGCAAGCTTTGGTGCCAAATGTCTATGATTTTATTCTATCTTAAGGAAAATTCTTACGTAGTTTCTCTTCTAATGTTTCCTCTTATCCATTTTCTCTCTTCTGCATTTTAAGTTCCAATTAAATTTGTTATATGTTTTTGTATGCCCTGTGATTTCTATCAATTTTTTTCCATACTTGGAGCATTCTAAATAGGGCTTTGTCATCCTATTTTTACTTCACTAGTCTCTCTTGCCTAATATATTAAACATGAACATTGCATTTTTAATTTTTGGATTTTTTCCAGTTCCAAATTACTATGTCAAGTTTGTGTGTGTTCTAGTTCCCTACTAAATTTTCAAGATTTTGTTTTTTCTTTGAACATGTCAAACAGCATTACAGTCTGTATCTCATTATTCCACATTTGAAGTCTTTTGGGGTCTGTTTCTATTTGTTGTTTCTGCTTTTTCCTTCTCTTGTGTCTTTTATATTCTTTTGTGAGCCAGTTATCATTTACTGTGTGCTATAAATTGCATTTGGAAAAGTATTTGTAAAAATAATTGTGACAAAGACACAGAATATCTTCCTCCAGAGAGAATTTCTGTTGCCAGATTTGAAAGTTCCTGGGTAGTCCAAGTGAAGTGCAGGTCTATGGATACATGTAGTTTTACTTCTCATTCACTCCTACTCTGAGAATGAAGCCCTCCAGGGTCATATTGGATATTAGGCCTTGAGCTGTGACTTTTATACTCCTTTCCCCTAGACTCCCAACAGCCACATTTCTGTATATCAGCTCTTTCTCTGGGTCAGCAGATGTCCTTGTGGCAGAGTTAGCTAGCTTTGAATGCCTCACTTGGCTTTTAGTTTTTCCTAGATCTTGGCTTTCCAATTATTCATAACTTTTCAGAAAAAGTTTTGCACATTTTATTCAACAAATATGAATTACCTAGGCCTCCATTATCAGAAACAAAATACTGGTTATTTAAAAATAAAAAGCCCTTGTTCACCATGTAAGAATTTATTCACTATGTAAGAATTCGTTCACCATGTAAGAACTTGTTCGTTATGCTTCAGAAGATTGGAGACTGACGAAAATTAGGCTTGAGATGGATTAATGATTGTACATTGAGCGTTGACCCCCCTATACTGAATTTTATTGTTGTTAACAACCATTTGATCAATAAATATGAGAGATGCCCTCTCAAAAAAAATAAAAATAAAAATAAAAATAAAATAAAAAGCCTTACTGGTTTTTTAAAATTCTATTAAGGTGTGTCTGAGGCATGCTTAAAAAAAGAAAATCTTTTGGAGGGCCCTAATTTTTTTTAATTGGCATTTAAAAAGGAAGCTCAGTTGTGGATATAGCTAGAATTTTTTTGATCAGGTAAATCCTCTTATGTGACAATAACCAAATGACTAGCCACTCATTTGGTTATTAAACATGTATCTGATTTAAAAAAGAAATGAATATACTAATGTGTATAAGTTGAAAATATTCAGAAAGAACTATCTATACATCAATTAAGTATTCTAAGCTAAAATTGGTAACATATGTATTAATTACCATCTGCCATTTCATGTAGTTTTTAGACAATAGAATCATTTAGGATAGAAAGTATTTCCTCAGTATGGAACATTTCTTTTTATCCACGCGATCACATAAATAAAATTTCTCATTTGTAACTGAAAACAATAAAACTTACATTTTCACAATTTTACTAAATCACCAAAGGGCTGCCACAGATAACAATTTACTCTGGAAATACTGCTATACATATACACAGATTTATACATATTTAACTTGAAGAGTTTTTTCAAATTTATAAATAAATTCAACATATTTGTGAAGCACTCTGCAATAAATTGTAGCATCAGTTGTAATATGAGAACTGGTTTTAAACTTTGCAAATTAATATTTTATTTAACATTTGAATTGCTTAAATTCATATAAACTGCTTTTTTATTTTGCTAACTTTTCTGTTAGAATTCATTCTGGTACCTAATTAAATCTTTTTGGCAGTTTCCAATTTCAAGAATTCCATGCATGTTCACAGGCATCATTTTCTGTACTGTAAGGCATTTGTTTCTTGATTTGCTGAATTGAAGCATTCAATTTAAGTCATTAGCTAAACAGAAGTCCTCAGTTTATGCTAATATTGTTTTGTCATAATGTCAATCAGCAACTGTTGCAGAGTGGCACAATGGCAGTGAATTTCATTGTCATTAATCTGAGAAAGCTTTGGGCTTTCCTTGGCAAAGAGCAGAGGTGGACTATGTCAAGGTTATGAAGGAGGCACAAATTTTACTAAGCTCTTGGTAGTTAGTCCTACTTTTCTTTGTGATATCCTCAAGTACTATTTAAGGATAACCCTGCAATTATAGGTAGAAATGGAATCTACTTTGTATTTAAAAATAAGAAAATTGATGCTAAAGAGCTTAAGCAATTTTTCAAGGTGTGGTAGCTAGTTAGGGCAAGGCCTTGTAGAGACAAGTCTCCACTGAATATACTTTCTCTTTTTTAAAATGCCAGTGTTTAAAACAGGAAGAGGCACAGTATGTGCATTACGTTTGCATCATTCTGAGGGAGGTACTAGAGAAGCACTTTGTCATCTACTGCAGTGGAATATATATACAAAGCCCTAACCTGGGAGTCAGAGGCCAAGATTCAGTTTGTTTTACGTTATGTACTAGTCAATACTGGGAACATCACCAAGTTTATAAACTAGAGATTACTTGTATTAGCAGATAATAGAGATAGTATTGAGAGAATGTCTGATAATAGATTTTAATATTAGAAAGGAATTCTAAGATAAATATATGTCATCTGTGCAAATAATGTCATTTCATTTCATTTCATTTATTAATTCATAGGGTATACATGTTCTATTGTTTTGACTTTTACAAACATTTCAGTATTCCAAGAAAGCTTCTCTCCTTTGACAATTTATTTGCCATTTCTCACTAATCTGCTTCTGAAGCATATATATCCACTATGGTAGAAATAGTAGCATTGCTTATATACTGTTAAAGTTGCAGTGAGAACAGTCCAGAGCATGTTGTCTGGCCTATGCTTATAGTGACTATTATGGATATGTGGTAGTATGCACATTTAGCAAATGTCACAAGGACAGGAATGACTTTGGCAGGATTTTTCTTATGGTAAAGAAGCTAAAGGCATCCCTTGAAAGTAGTTTAAGGTCTACCCATCTCTAACTGTTTAATAACAGAAACATCAAGATAAATTGAATATTAAGCAATATTGATATTCATTTGTGGTGTCAAGTACATGTGTACATATATTTGTGGAAGGAAAGAGGGAACATCCCAACAAATTGATTTTATATTACTTATAATTGGTGGAGTGCTGGATTGTGGTTTTACATGAGGCTTAGACCTCCTTCTTCCCTATCCAGAGTCTTAGGGCTACAAATCTGAAGTGATCCTTATTTACCATACCCTTGAGATGGGGAATGCTTTGAGAAATCAAAGATTACCAATCTCTTGCTTTCTTCCTGAGTAAAGTTATTGCTGATATTCAGATATACATTATGTTGAAAGGAGCCTTTTGTGGCATGGATCTTGACATGATCATCAATTTGTAGTTTAAATATAGGTTTTTCAACGTCCTGTTTTATTTTCTCTTCATAACTTGATCCATGAGAAGTAAAATTTGCTCAGAGTGATCATCTACATGTTGCTGTTACAAAGAATGGGGTTGACTTCCACCAAAGTTCTTTCAAGACTAGCTAACACCCAGTGCTTAAGGGAGTCAGTTCTGGTCGTCTTCAACGCTTTGACCTACCAGGATCCAAAAGAGGTGTTCTCACTCTTCCAGCCTGCTGATAAGCCAATCCTGCTGTTCATTTCCCTTGTCACACAGCTGCAACTGCAAAACTTTAACCCAGCTTTCTAATCAGAGTGGGAGAGAAGGGAGTACTGACTCTACTCGTGAATCCTGAGCTGGTGAGATTTAGTCAAGGTTCTGTATCATGGCCCCTAATCATGCAGTTTAAAATCTCCTTGCTCTTATTCTTCAGAGTCTTGCTCTAAGTGTCTAATGTCAGCCCTGACAGAATACAGCATGTTCTCCCATGTGTGATAGGGCGACACCGTTTCATCAGTAGTTTATGGATTAGAGAGATATTCTTAAATACTAGGTTAAACTACACTTACTGTAAGTAAGGCTTGTACTCCTTGCTTATTTCTTAGAGGAATTTAATGTTTTTATAGAAAAAACAATGTAATGCTCTTAAAGCTTATCTGTATATCTCTAACTTAGGTAATGGCATTAGATATGATTTATTAGAATTTGAGCCAGTCTGTTTCTATACAGTAAAGCACAGTTTTGTTTGCTAAAACTTTTATTCATTGTGTTTTTCAAGTATTTTTCTGGAAAATGCCATTTTTAGAAATGTAAAGGTTACTTTTAAAAACAATAAGGATAACTAAGTCTATCCTTTTTGGTAGTTTTATGTTCCTTTTGACAGAAATCTACAGAAGCTAGCTACTTCCTCATCATGTTAATAGAATTAATGCCCTACAGCAATTGACAGCATTGGATACAGTTAATTTAAACATTTGTTATAAGTCCTGGAAAATTTGTTTCATGAACTGTCATATAGCTATAGATGTAGATACAATGGGGGAGGAAAATAGAGGGGAAGGAAGGAGACAGAACAGAGAGAGTGAGTTTGCTTAGGTTTTTAAGAATACTTTAAGCATTAGCATACCCTGTATTTATTTTTATTTTATTTTTTTACCCTCTATTTTTAAATAGCTACAATTTACCTCAAATTTTCAAAATACTGATAGAAATCATACATTTTAATAATTTTCATACTATTTTTCTTATTTTAATGTTAGGTCTTCATACATGAACTAGCTTACTTATTGACTGGAATTCTTGGAGCAGCAGTAGATTATTGGATCTTTCTTGGTCTTAAGATGGGCAGAAATGTGATGCGACACATGTCTGATGACTTAGGAAGTTATGTTTCCCTTTCATGTGATGGTAAGTGTGTCTGTGTTGTTTTTTTGGGTATTAATTTTGATTTTCCTTTAGACAGTCTGTATTCTTTAACATAAATTCATATGAAGCTTTCTTAAAATAGTTTTATTTATACCCACGCACACACGCAAATACATATAAAGAGGAAGGTGAAAGTTTCCTATAATGAGTGTTTCCACACAGATAACCAATGTTAAGTTTATAATATATTTCTTTCTGGTATTTCTAAGCATTTTTTTCATAGTTGAGCTCATACTATATTTGTATTTTGTATTCTTATTTTTGTCTAAATAGTACATGAACCTTCCCCCCCAACACAGATCATTTATTATTCAAAAATGTTATTTTGATGATTTCAATATGTATAATATTATTAATGTTTTCCTTAATCTACAACTAAAAATTGTAGCTAAGCCATCCTATGCAAGTAAACATTTAACTAGACAAATTTAAAATCAGTTTATTCTCTTTTCATTAGAGAGACAGATGTGTTCTTCTATGTGTGGTGTCTTAGAATCTCACATAATTAACATTTTCAGTACTTTTAACACCTCTAATCATTCAAGTTGAATAGAAAGCATTATCTATCTTTAATTTTATATGTGCCATATGAACATTCCAAGGTCTTTTCCTGCATGAGCACTTAATAGTACTAATAAATGAAATTCATTGAGTCAGAATATTTATTATGTTATAAAGCCACTTGCATTAACTTAGGTTATATCACCAGGTAAAACATTTTCTCCATGTACCTGTTGCTGTATAATTCTTCTTATTACAATATAATAAGCTGCTACTATTTCTTTTCCTTTGAGTCTGATGATCTAACAAATGAGCAATGATGATGCAAATAGAACTCGTTTATAATTTTCTCACTTTTCCTCCTCCCTCCATTATCTACTTTACAGTTACCTTTAAATTAAGTGGGTGATGGAATATTATTTAAGTAATATAATGACAGAACTCATTTTCACGTGCTCACCTTATGAAATGTTCTACCTAACTCCTCTGGGTTTCTAGAGTGAGGGAGGGTTCCATAAGGTCTCATATACATTTCTAAATTTCAAAGCCAGTTTAAGGAATTATGAATCTTTTTCTCTCTTATTTCTGTAATCCTAAATTCCTAAAATAAACGTATTTTAAACCAACTGAGCTTTTTCAAATATAAATGATTATTTTTGTATACTTAAAAATTTTAGATTGCCCAGTAAGTATTCTATTTTGTTACACATGTGTTCCATTGCATCTTGGTTTAGATAAAAGAAAAAGTTCTTGAATATGCTGTCAATCCCTTTAATACTTTGAAGAGAGATTCTAGAATAGGAATTCAGGTTATAACTAGGTTCAGGATTTATTTGATGATGCCCCTCTACGAAGAGAGATCTTTTTTTATAATACCTATTGAAGTTAGAAGATTTTTATCTAAAGCATTTTATCTCCTTTTTTCTCTTTCTTTTTCATTGAACTGAGGGGGTGATTACTGTTCCTTTTGTGTGGTAGCTGTCTTTTGTTGTATGACTTTTTAACATTTCTTAGCTCATATTCAATCTTCCTTCAGAACATTTTTCTTATTTCTTTCCCACCTTTCCTACTAGGTAGTGTTTTGTGTTGTTTTTTTCCATTTTAGAAACATCAGAATTCTGGCATTTCCTTGCATGAGAACTAAACATTCAGCTGAAAGTATTCCCTGTTTTTATTCCATAATGAAACCTGAGCTTGGGCACCCAGAACAGGGTTAGCAGTGGCTTTGGAGACTATTGAGATAGTTATGTGTGTTCTATTGGTTACATTTAGGGAAATACAACATAGTTTAGCTAAATGCATGGAATAATGAGCCTTGTATTTAACAGGGTTCTCCCACACGTTATATATTACCTTCAGTGTTTTATCACATGACAAGTTTAAGCCCAACAAGTTTGAACCTGTGACTGACTCTAAGCTAAAACCAGACTTTAATTTATATATTAGCTATAGAAAAACTTCTCTCTTGAGGATAAATTGTTCATTTCTATCCCTTGACAAAAGTTAAAAATCAAGATATATTAACAACAAAAATCCGGAAAGATATTAATTTGAACCATTTTTTTAGAAATATTTTAGAATATTTTTAAACTCCCTAGCTGTAGCCTAATTGGAATCCTAAGGAACCAGTTGTGTGCATGTTTTGAGAAGGGTAAGGAAAAGCCTAAACACACTTTTCAAAGATACAGTTTAAATCCCATCTAGAGTTTTAAATATTAATGATCAAACATAGATCATGGGGAGAAAAATAATCACTCAGTTTGTCCACAGGATTGTAATGGTAACATTAACATCCTTATATGGTATATATTATATATATGTATGTATATATAAAAATATAAGTTTAGGTATAGATTTATCATGTATAACTGTGACAGTGTTTTTTATGGCATTGATAGAATAACACTCATCACTACAAGTGAACCAGGTGTTTTAACAATATCCTTTTTGATAATATTTTGATATTTTATTGAAGAATCACTTTTTTCTCTACAGATATTCCTCCTTTATTTTATCAACATTTATTTGAATTGTGCTTTAGCCTAATTACTATTTTTTGCTTTTCTTAAGTCATTAGTAAAGATGTTATAATCCAGCTGTTATATAATTTTTAGTTGAGGCTATTAGTCCAACTTTTTCATTTATGCACAGTGGATATTTTTGTTTTTCCTAGTGCAAAAGTATAAAATTCATATTGTGACACTACTGAGATTCAGATCTACTTAATTAATTTTAGTTTAGTGAAATTGTTAGTTTTTAAATGTTTCCTTAGAAAACTAAGGCAGAAGATATTTCAGCAGATAAGTAAAGTCCTTTCTTCTTTGCATCAAATCTCATGTCCATCAATTGCACATAAATGCCATTCTCTTTTACTTCTCAGTACTTTGAACAAAAAGTTTTCATATATATATCCCTTAGTGTATTTTAAGATCAAATAATCTGAAATTTCTTTTTTATACCCAATTGAAATTTCTGAGTTTTGGCTTAAAGTAGGGCTGGCAAACTTTTATTTGTAAGGAACCGGGTACTAAGTATTTTTGGCTTTAGAAGCTCTACAGTCTGTCCCAGCTGTTCAACTCTGCAGTTGTAGTAAGAAAGCAGCCATACCCAATAGATAAATGAACATGGCTATGTTCCAGTTAAATTTTATTCATAAAAATAGGCAGCAGGACATAATTTGCCAATCCCTAAGTTAAACTTACTTTTTCTTCTGTGGGAAGAAAACATGTCATCAAAATCTGCTTTAATGCCTTTCATATCTTTAGAAAACTTTAATAAATCTTCCTTTGCCCTTCTCAAGTTACATCATCATCTTCTGATAAATGGTTTTTCCAAACCTTTATTCACTTTATTTTTTAATCCTATTCTAATACTTCTCCATGCTTTAGATTTCTCTCACAAATATAATTTTTTTATTATTTTACTAATTATCTTTCTCAAAATGTTTCCATTCCTTTCATTTATTCAACACATTTTTATTGGCACTCTATCAGGCTTGAACTGAACACTTCATATACAGTGGAGGAAGAAAACAAAGCATGGTCCTTGCTTCCAAAGGGAGAGACAGACTGTAATTAAGTTAATGTAAATATATCATTTAACAAGGCTCAGTGCTCCAAACAAAAAAAACTAGGCGTTGAGGTGGGTGAACTTACTTTATATTGGGTGGTCACGGGAAGCAGAACCTGAAGGGTAAGTAAGTTTGGCAGAGTGAAGGAAGGATGCTCCCCTCAGAAAACACATTTGCCACAACTCTTGAGTTAGAAAGAAGCTGGGCCTATTTGAAGTCTGGTGGATGGCTGATGGCAAGTGACAAGGAGAAGAAGAGTGGCAGAATAAAGCCACAGAAAGGGTAGGGGAGTTTGCATAGGAACTACTAAGCCATGTTGAGGAGTTAGAAGCCATTTTAAGGGAGCAGTCTGATCTGATTAACTTTTTTAAAGAAAGATCTTTCTTAGGGGTTTAAGGGGCACTATAATTTGCAATCACAATATAGGTAGGTCACCAGGACAGTAGTACAGCACGGAGAATACAATTCATGACTCTATAACATCTTACTATGTTGATAGACAGTGACCGCAGTGCAGGCGGTGAAAACTTGATAATATTGGTGAATGTTGAACCACTGTGTTGTGTATGTGAAACCATCATAAGATTGTATATCAATGACACTTAATTTAAAAAAAAGATCTTCCTTGTTCAGCTCTCCAGAGTTATTGCTATCTGCCAGTCATTCATTTATTCATTGATCTATCATATACTAAATGCTTATATTGTACAAGTTAGTGGCCTAGTAGTAGCTGTGAGGGATGAAAATGGTAGACCAAGTTAGTGGCTGTGAGCACTACAAAAATGATCTTGCTGTTAAAAGGTCTTGCAATCTAGGGGCTAAGTATCTCCTGTTCTCTTGTTCATCTATTAATTTTCATTCCATTTGAATGTGTTACCTCATAATATGTGGGTCCATTTTAATTTGTATTCCCTATTTCTTTAAATCTATCAAATACTCTTTCTAGATGAATAACTCTATTTGGAAGTTCCAAGGCAAGATAGTTCTTTTGAGCTGTACAGTGCAAGTTATTTCTGCTTTCCTTAGAGACATGTCTCTGTTTAACATGTCTCTTGACATATTAAGAGATCAGTTAGTTGTAGTAAACTCTGTGAAGATAGATATACTTTTTTCATGTGTATATTGAATGTTCAAAATAAATCCTACAGAATGGAGAAAATTTTTGCAGACCATGTATTGGGTTAAAGGTTAATATCCAAAACATATAAAGAACTCAGTGAACTCAATAACAACAATAAGAAAACAATCCAAAAAAATGGCCAGAGGAACTAAATAGGCATTTTTCTAATGAGGATATCGAAATGGCTACAGCATGAAAAGATGCTCAACATCACTAATCATTGGGGAGATGCAAATAACAAACACAATGAGATATCACCTTATGCCTGTTGGAATGGCTGACATCAAGAAA